GTGAGAGGCTCCTGTTCTCTGAAGGTAGAAGGTGGGAAGAAGGTTGTGTACTGTCTGTGAGAACGCTCGCTGTGCTCTATGTCTGGTAGCGACATTGTCATGACCTTCCAAAGCCAAGCTAGCCTTGGATGGCTTGATGCCGTTCAATGAGTTTCAAGTGCTGTGTAGCTTGAGAGCGCCTAAGCTTACCAGGAAGTTACAAGTGAAGTTTGGGACAGTCTCATCAAGGTTTCTATAAAGATCGACTTGTAGTCAGTCGGCTCAGTGAGTGGTAGGAACAGGAGGAGGCCATTCAGCCCCTCGAGCAAGTTGTTGTTGTTGTTTGTCACGTCTAGTTATGCTTGTTCTGTGTCTGTTGTGCATTTGTTGGTGTGGTTCACTGTGACTTCACATCATACAGAGATCGATAGTAAGCCTGTGTACGCAGCAAGATCATTGTGTCTTGTTAAACTTGTCACACAACTTAGCTTGTACAGTGTCTGACTATTTTTCCTGCATTAAATCTTCTAGAATTATTGCACCGCTTCGCAAAGATATGTGAACGCAACTCCAAGCCCACGATCTCATCTCCTTTTCTTTGACCGACCATCACTGGTTAAGGTCCCATAAATCCATCCCTCAGAGAGTAATGCTATATTGGAAGAGTTTTCATTTTGCCGTCAGTTTTCTAGCTACTCCCTGGCCGAGAAGTCTTTGGGATATCCCCTCACCCCTCCCATCCCACAATCCCTTCACCTCGCTCTCTGCCCTCGCCTCCTTCAAGGCCTGTCTCAAGACCCTCCTCTTCGACCGTGTCTTTGGTCACCCTCCTACCCTTACCTTCCCTGCCCTCCAACCTCCTGATCCCAACCCTCAATCTTGAGTCGGAATCCCCGACTGTCCAGCACCTTGGGACATCCTCCCGACGTGAAAGGCGTTGTGTAAATGTAATGTGTTGTTGTTGTTGTCAAGAGAACTCCAGGCCCCTGACACTATCATGGAATCATAGAATCGTACAGCACAAAAAGAGGCCATTCGGCCCATTGAGTCTGTGCCGGCTCTTTGAAAAGAGTAATGTAATGTCAATCCCACTCCCCGGCCCTTTCCCCATAACCTGCAAACCCGTCCTCCTCAAATACCCGTCCATCGCGTTTTTAAAAGTAGTTATCGAATCGGCCTCGACCGCCCTTTCAGGCGATGCCTTCCAGATTCCAACAACTCGCTGCGTGAAAAACTACACTATCCAAAACTGCATACTTCTTCATATGCCCATATGAAATGCTTTGCTATGGAATGTAAAGAAGTATGTATTTTTGGGGTGAAACATCTGCAGCAATGAGAGAGCCACACTCAATCAACCAACTCACCAACCAACATTAACAATCCCAAGGTGTTCAAGGTAAAGCTAAGAGGATTGCCTAGATCCAGCCGAGAAAGGTTAATAACACTCACTTCTTACCAGTCTGCCATGTTTAACATCCCTCAACGTTTAGTTCCTAGTGAAAATATCAGCTTGGCTCAGTTGGTCGCTCTCTCACCTTAGAGTCAGAAGGCTATGGTTTCAACCCCCCCACGTTGGGATTTAGGGCTAGGGTCGCTCTGCATAGGAATGCTGCCTTTCGGATGAGACTTTAAAGTGAAGTCGGCCTGTTGAGGTAGATGCTAAGGATCTCGCAGTGTTATTTGGAAAAAGAAAAGGGGAGTTTCTCCCCGTGTCCTCGTCGGCAATTCTGCAAAGTAAAGTGAGTCGTTCACTTCATGGCTATTTGGCAATCGGCTGCCGCGTTTCACCCACAAATACGCAGTCAATTCACTTTACGGTGTATCCCGTGAAGCGCTTTGAGACGTCTCGAAGACGTGATAAGGCGCTGTGTCAAATCCAAGGATTACTATTATTATTATTATGATTATTGCAAAACATTCCGATGCGTGGAATGGCGGGAGACGTTACCGGAGTAGAGATTCCAGTGACGTTCCGGTGGGTGTTTTGCTTGGCAGGTATAGATGTTCTCCTTGACAGTTTTGAACGAGAAGCGTATGTGTCGACAGGGCAGCGAAACAGGAGCAAGTCTGGCTTGGCTGTGTCTGTGGAATGCGCACAGTAGTGTACGGACGGACGGAGTAACATTTGCCACTCAACACAGTCGGATCCAGTGACTTTTAGGCAGGAACAGCTGTACGTTTTTATTACCCTCTGTGCCGTTCCTGATGAGTCAAAGCAGGTGCCAGATGCTGAAGAGCAGATCCTGTTTCCCGAAGAGGTTTATAGTCAGAGCTGTCAGCCAACCGCACACTGCCATCCCATACACTGCAACGACTGTTGTGTCAAAGGATTTTCTTTCCAAATCTCCGAAGGTTTTAAATAGCGTTCTGAGAACTTTTTGACCTCCCTCTGGTGGCATTGTGTGCTTGCTTGACTCGTCCACTGCGCTAAGGAAAGTGTTGCTTCTCGTTGCTACACTTTCGTCTTGATGTTACGTCGTTTGCTGCCTGATGTTGTGGTTGATGTAGCTAAAAATAATAATAATAATAATTCTCGCATTCGATACAGCGCCTTATCACGTCTTCGAGACGTCTCAAAGCGCTTCACAGGATACAGGGTAAAGGGAATTGACAGCCATTTCTCATTAGAGTTCTTTCAACCACCCTGTCCCCACTCTCTGAAAGTCCATCCCAGAGTCCCTCCGGCTCTATACCCTCCCTCCCCACTTCACGACTTACCTCTGTACCTTCGGTCAACGTTCTTTCCCCCACCCCCTCTTCCCCATCATCTTCCCCTAGCTCGGAAGCCCATTCTGCTGCGTAAAAGGCTTTGAAACGCACTCCCGACATGAGAAGCGCGATATATAAATGTAAATTGTATTGTAAAGATGAAACCCCAGGGAGATATATATGACTTACCTTCCACCCCCCTGCGTTCTAGCACACTGCAGGAGATATTTTGTCAGGCAAGGTACACATGCTATTCTATCAGCCTCAAAGCAGTGAAGAACGAGTGGACATTAAGATATTAGTTTTCTTTTTTGCAAGGTCAAATTTTCGATTTGGCGTTTCTGTGAGGATTGACCCGAATGAAAGCATCTTGTCAGGACAGGTTAGCGAGATTGGTTGTAAAAATGTGTAACCAGTTGACTTTCAATTCCTCAGCCATCAGGCACTTGTTATTGCATGAACCAGATTGGACTCTCATCCCATGTTTCTTTGTACTGTCGGCAGGTAATGTGTAATGGGAGCAAGTGTAATGTTATTATTATTATATTTATTATTTAACGTCTCACCAAAATTCAGGATAGAGACAGGACAGCTGAAGGACAAGTTCAACGGTCAAATCTCCAGGCTTACCCTTGAGTTCCAAAGCCTACAGGATGTACAAGGGTATTTTTTTATATACTCAAAAAAATTACGTCTTTTTCCCTGTGAATTTTGGCAGTGTAGAGATGATCTTTGTTTAAACGACAGAAGCCTGGAGAGTATTAAGAGTTAAATAGAGAGTTGGTGGCAGGAATCCCAAATGATTATATGATGCAAATTACCGGCTAATAAAATGACTTGAGACGACCTTCACATCCATGAATCGGCCCGCACTGGGGAGGAAAAGATTATGTCTTCATTCCTGATTTATATCTGGAAACTCCTTTTCCATACCATACTTGGCATTATTTTTTCATTGAAATTGACATCAACAGAAAGCTGTAGGGTCCACAGAGGTTTGAGGGAGATAGTTTTGATCGACCTGATAGACAGAAAGAATAAATAAAATTGCCGTAAACTTCAGCAGAGAAATATCCAAGTTGTGCCACTCAAAACGTCAAGATTATGAACCTCTTCTCCGCAAGTTCTGGTCAGGGCTCCACTTATATTGAGAGAGAGAGACATCTCAAAAGGCTTTACAGAATATGGGTAAAGTGAATTGACTGTATATTTTGTCGGTGAAAAAATTGCAGCAGCAATGAAAGATAGACCAGTTATTGTTATTCATGCGCTGACTATAGAAAGTGTGTTTTGGAATTGCAACCAAAGACGACAGATAAACAGGGAATTTTATTCCGATGTGTCATTCAATTAATAATCCTATTCTTGGCTTGAGTCCTAGATGTGCAGTAGAATAGAAGAGATACATCACTGCTCCTTAATATTAATAATAACAGCAATCATCCTTGCATTTGATACAGCGCCTCATCACGTCGTTCAGGTGTTTCAAAGCACTTCACAGAATATACCGTAAAGTGTAGTGACTGTGTATTTTGTCGGCGAAAGGAAAGTCCCTTGCTCAGTTCTGGTTAGTAAGGAGTTACTGTAATTGCTGATCGCCTAGAAAGCACCTTCCTCCCAGTGCCAGAAGTCCCAGAATATTACGTACAGCGGTTTAAATGAAGGGAACAGAGTATCGATGGTTGCAAATTATTGACTGGTTCGTGCTGCGTCCGCACAATGAAATATGAGGCAACATGCTGACTCAGTCGGTACGACAGTTAGCTAAGGATGAATCCAGTACAGCTCAGAACATTTCCTGTGTTTGCTCCTGGATACAGTCGTCTGAAGGCCTTCTTGAACAGATTGAGTATAGCCGTTTGGATCGTTAAAAGTGGAGGCCTGTGGCATATTGGTTAGTGCACTCACCTCGCAAGCGAGACGACCCCAGCTTCGATTCCCGGTTGAGGCAAGATCTTTTTTTACTTTAGACGTACAACAATCATTAGGGATTTGAACAGTTGGAACTCATTTTACTTGGGATAATAATAATAATAATCCTTGCATTTTATACAGCACCTCATCACGTCTTCGAGACGTCTCAAAGCGCTTCACAGAATGTACAGTGAAGTAAATTGACTGTACGGTTTGTGGACGAAATACAATACATTTATATAGTGCCCTTCATGTCAGGAGAACATCCCAAGACGCTGGACAGTCCAAAATGTTGCATCCTTGATAATAGTCACCAAAGAGAGGACTGCGAAGGTGGGATTGAGACCGTTGATGCTTGGAATTATGTGCTGGTCATCATGGAATTGTCTGTGGGG